ACATGTGTTAAAATTCATAGAACTGTATATCAAAAAGACACAAGTCAGGTGCTTTTTAATTAGGGACTATCTGTAACTATAAGACCACGAAACTACAAAATTGGAGAAAATAGCCATCATGAAGAAGAAATTTTTATGAAATTAATGAACAAAAAAAGAGTAACTACATCCCCAGAAATAGCCTCTTGTTCTCACAGTTTTAGACTTTTTTTTTAAAATCCTCACCCAAGGATATTTTTCTATTTATCTTCAGATAGAGTGGGAGGGAGAGAGAGACAGACAGACATGGATGTGAGAGAGACACATCAACTGGTTGCCTCCCACAGGACTCCAATCAGGGCTGGGGACCAAACTGCAGCCATGGTACATGCCCTTGACCAGAATTGAACCCATGCCTCTTTGGTCTGCGGACCGACACCCTAACTGCTGAGCCAAACTGGCCAGGGCTTTTAGACCCTTAACATTTTTTTTTTTCCTTTTTCTTTCTCCTGGTCAGTGTGGCTCAGTTGGTTGGAGCAGAGTCCCATAGACCAAAAGGTGGCAGCTTCGATTCCTGGTCAGGGCACATACCCAGGTTGTGGGTTTGGTCCCCAGTCGGTCTGTGTGCAAGAGGCAACTGATCAGTGTTTGTTTCTCATGTTGATGTTTCTCTCTCTTTCTCTTCCCCTCCTCTCCCTTCCTCTCTCTCTCTCAAATCAATAAATATATTTTAAAAATCTTTTTCTCTAATTACTTTTTTTAGAGACATGTCTTCACTGTTCTCTAAAATTCTTCCTTTTTTTTTATTTTTATTTTTTATAGAACATATAGGTTAAATCTAAAGAAAAAACTTTAAAAAACTGCCCAGATTGTCTTCTTATTTTGTGGTTTTATAGGATTGTCTATTTCTTCTAATAAGTAGTATGGGGTCTTGTAAACTTTTACTGCAGATTTTTTTTTATTGTAGTCATTGTTCCACAATATGACCATTACTATGTTCCTCTGGTCCAGAGTTAACCATCTTATTCAGGCTGAGTTATTTCATTCTGAGTGTTAGAGTTACTTTTATGTTTGAGTTTTTTCTTAGTATGAAGAATAAGAAAAACATACCTGGTCACAACTTGTGATGGAAAAAGTTTGAAAGCACCTATAAAATAAGGAGGGATCATGAATGTGATACATTTATTTAAAGAGTAGACATGGGACTAGCATGTTTGATAGGAGCTTAGCATGTAGGAACCAAAAGCTAATCTTCTGTGTACACTCAACATTTGTCAAATTCTTACTAGAATGCTCTCTTCAGATCTGTGCTTGGCAACTTAAGCAAGATGTGGAAACACTTGGCAAGGTTCGTAAGAGAAGGTTAGAAGAATTGAAGTTTCTTAGGGAAGGGATGGTTTAAAGTGTGTGAAGAGCTGGATGGATGGTAACTTTATGTCGTCTGACCAGGTGGTACAAATATGAATGTCCTAAATTTTTCTGGAAGGATTTATGGGCATATGAACTTTTTTCTTCATTCCAAGATGATTCAGACCATATTGTGTGCACTTTCTTCTTCCCTGGGCTTTTCTGACATTGCACTTTTCTGGCTCTCTGTCTACCATTTGGGACATTCTTGTTTTGACTGCCTCTCTGAGAAGGGGTCTCACCTTGGCTCTCTCTGCTTCTGATCCTTCCTATCCTCTTTCCCGTCCTCTGTGAAGCTGCAGGGCTTTTGCTTCTGTCTTTTTCATCTTAAATGCATCCTTAACACAACAACCAGTGAGATCTATCCAAAATAAAGTTGCCATGTCACTTTCCTGCTTAGAATCCTTTAGTAGCTTTCTGTAACCATAGCCGAGGTTCACAACTAGTCTCTCCAGGGGCTGGATCTGGGAGAGGAGTGACAGGTGTTCATAATCCACCGGCCAGTGTAATGTCCATGGCAGCTCACCATGAAAGATGGGTACCTGAGCATGTGTTACCCACCCAGTGTGGGAAACAAGGTGGAGAGGAAGGGCTTATAGAACAAGTTTGAGCTCCTTAGGAAGCCTGGGAGACTCTCCATGCCTGGTCCTCTGCCTCTGCAGCCCCCACGCCTCATCCTGCCCTGGACTGTGAGTTTTGCTTTCCTTGCATCTTCTGTTATACTTGGCTTGCAGTTCTCAGGATTTGTTATTTTAATAACAAATCTGAAAAAAGTTGCTGAGAATATTTTGTAAGGATTGTTTTACTTACATTTTGAAGACAGAAGGAGGCTGGATTTCCTGATTTTTGTCCTGCAGTATTTCCAGAGGGATTTGCCATTTTAGTTTTGAGTTTGTCTGCATTGGGTAGTGATGAGATTAAAAACAGAAATCAAGCTAAGTATATATTTATTGAGTACTAGTGAATAAATACATTAAGAGCCATAGAATATAAGAGCCAACAAGCCCTTAGAGATCATCTACCTTGATCTCTTATTATACATATGAGAAGAAAACAGGCTGGAGAGGCTTGCCTAGGACACAGCAGGTGGTGTGTAGGTCCATCTAGACAGCTTGGCCTCTGACCTCAAGGTTGCACAATACCGGTTTTTTTACTGCAGGGGTTTTTGAACTTTATATCTATATCTATCTATCTGTCTATCTATATAAATTTTTAAGCAGAGAGCCTTTTTTTAAAAAAGAGTAAAGTATATCCATTTACCTTTTGTGTGAAGTATTTCAAATTTACACAAAAATAGAAAACTAGGCTACTTATTCAAATAACCAGTTGGTATGTATATATATCTGTGTACTATATATATGTATATATTTATATTCTATCTAACATTTAAGTAAGGTGACTTAGATTGTTGAGTGGAAGGATCTAGTTGTCTTCAGCACTGGGAAACTTAGTTGAAGTCACGACTCATCTCTAACAAGTAGCATGACCTTAGTGTATTTATATAATTTCTTGGGTTTAATTCTTATTATGTTTATAAAAAGAAAGTTGAATTCCTCTTATAACTTTCAAATAATAATTACCAACAGTTGAATAGTGCTTACTGTCTACCAGTTCTGGTTGCAAGTCCTTGTGCTAAGTACGTATTCACATATCGTTTTCACAACTACCAGGTGATGTTGGTGCAGGTGGAACTGTGAGGAAACTGAGGCATGGAGGGTTAAGTAGCCCAAGTTGATGCTGTTAGTGAAAGTGAAGCTGGGATTGAAGCCAGGGGTCTGGCTCCAGAGTCCACACTCATGACTCCTATGCTTCAGTGTATGTTGTCTCTCTACTCAGTCTTGTTACTTCTGTGAATTAGATTTTATAAACATGAACATTTAAGGAAGCTTCTCTCTTCTTTCTTGATTTTTTTAAGATAACAAAGTATGAATAAAAAATGTTTAAATTATGAGGGAACCATTCTTGTTAAAATGATCTATTCATTCAGAGGAAAAGTAAGGTTACCAGTTATTGGTAGTGGTTCTCTTACATATTTTATGTATTGTTCATTGAGCAAAAGAGAATCTAAATAAAACTGAAGTAACTCCTAGGAGTCTGTAATCTTCAAAGTTGTGTTATGGTTTTTACTTTTATTTACTTATTTATTTAATAAGTAGCTCTTTTACTTTATTCTTTTCTGATTTTTTTTAAGAGAGAGGAAGGGAAGGGGGTTGTGGACAGACATCGATGTGAGAGAGATACATCAGTCAATTGCCTCCCCTATGCTCTCTTGACCGGGGATCAAATCCACAACCTGGACATGTGCCCTCTCTGGGAATCAAACCTGCGACCCTTGGGTGCACAGGACAATGCTTAACCAACCGAACCACACCAGCCAGGGAGAAGTTGTGTAATGGTTTTTAAAAATTAGTATTAAAAACAAACCAGAGGCCCTGGCCGGTTTGGCTCAGCGGTTAGAGTGTTGGCCTGCGGTCCGGAGAGACCCGGGTTCGGTTCCCGCTGCGGGCATGTACTTCGGTTGCAGTTTGTCCCCGGCCCTGGTTGGTCGTGTGGGTGGCGGCCACTCGATGTGTCCCTTTCACGTCGATGTTTCTCTCTCTCTCTCTCCCCCTTCCTCCCTCCCTCCCTCCCTCCCACTCTATCTGTACAAAAATTGGAAAAATGTCCTCGGGTGAGGATAAAAAAACAAAACAAAACAAAAAAAAACAAACCAACCAGAGCCCTGGCCGGTTTGGCTCAGCGGTTGGAGCGTCGGCCTGCGGTACAGAGAGACCTGGGTTCGGTTCCCGCTAAGGGCGCGTATCTCAGTTGCAGTTTGTCCCCGGCCCTGGTTGGTCGTGCAGGTGGCAGCCACTCGATGTGTCCCTTCACATCGATGTTTCTCTCTCTCTCTCTCTCTTCCTCTCTCTCCCTCCCGCTCTATCTGAACAAAAAATGAAAAAATGTCCTTGGGTGAGGATAAAAAAAATTAAAAACAAACAAACAAACAAACAAAAAAACAAACCAGAAAAAACGATTTCTAAGGTAGAATTTAATGAGAACACAGTTTTACACGATTCTCCTGTGGGCGCTCTCGGCTGCCACAGGGTGAGAGGAGCCTGGCCAGGCCGAGTGCAGGGTGCGGGGCTGCTGTGTATGAGCCTGAATGGCTTGGGCGTGCTGAGCCTGGGGAAGAGGAACAGTCTCAAATATATGAAAATATATTGTTTAAAGAAGGGTTCACTGAACAATCAGTACAGTTTTCATAGAAACAGAGAGTAGAAAAGTGGTTGCCAGGGGCTAGAGATGGGGAACAGGAGAGGTTGGTGAAAGGGCACAAACTTCCAGCTGTAAAGATGTCCAGGGTCTGAGAAGCTGAAGTGTAACGAGGTGACTGCAGTTGATAACACTGTTGTATAATCGACATTTACTAAGAGAACAGAAAAATGTTTCCACCAAACTTTTATGTATGGGGTGGGGGGTTGTCCCTAATTCTCATTATTATTCAGGAATAAAGTCTTATTTATATCTGCTAATGCTGATTCTAAAATTTAGAAATAATTACTTGAATTCAAACCAGGTTTGAACTGTGTTGAATGTAGAGCGGAGTATGTCCATGTCTGTTGCTTTCGTAGGTGCCTGCGAGGGAACCTTGGCTTGCTCTACCTGCCACCTCATCTTTGAAAAGCACATATACGACAAGTTAGAAGCAATCACTGACGAGGAGAATGACATGCTTGATCTGGCGTATGGGCTAACAGATAGGTAAGATTTTAGGACCACTTCAGTTGTACTGATAGTCGGGGAAGATAAAGGTTTCACGAGTTCATGTCTAAGATTAGACCTGTGTGTGTAATAGTGTTCTTTCTGCGTAGACAGGTAACAGGTACAACTTCTGAATGGAAAATATGTGACATTTCTCTTTGTTTTCACTATTCTGTAGGTTAGCCCTTGTGAAACTTTGCTTTTTTATAAAAGTAAAAAAATAAATCATCTTGTCTATTTTTATTCCAGGAATTAATATTTACCACAATTTAATGAGTTAGGATTAAATTTAATGCTTTTTATGGTATTATCGAAGGACAGATTTGATAATTGAATGAAATTATTATGAAAAGTTTAACTTACTTGAGGACTGACTTTGTAAAGAAACAATATATAATAGTAATTATGTTAAAATTAATAGTTCTATTTCTAAGTAAACATTAAACGGCATCAGTTAGAGTTTATTCTTGTTATTAATTAATAGGTAGAATTACTCTTAAAAAGTGGTAAGGTTTAAAGTAGCAAGTGAGTGGTATCAAGTGATGCCTTATTCTTAAAAATTATCTAATTTTTTGGTTGGAGTTAGGGGAAGTAGCTAGTTGATTTACTCTTTAAGGAGCAAAACAATGAAGGTTTATGTGAGGTTAGGTTTGGTGTTTACCTGTAATTTGGTGACCCTAATGAAAAATAATTTTTAAAAAAATTAAAAATAATGGTAGTAGAAGTAGGGATCAGACTGACAAACCTCAGAGGAAGGGCTGGGGGGAGGGAAGAGATAAACCAAACAACTTATATGCATAACCAATGGATACAGACAATACTGTGAAGGGAGGACGGGAATGGGGAGGAGGGTGTCAGTGGGGGAAAAGAGAGAAATATCTGTAACAAAAATAAATACATTTTAAAAAAGCATTAAATGTATAAAAAGAAAAAAATAATGGTAATAATAATAGCTTTAGTTCATGTGTATTACATAACTATAGTTTTGTTAGACCCTTAACAAATAATCTTATCTGAAAACAAACTTTCTTATCCTCACAAAAATATTTAGGTCATTGATATTTCTTTAGAGGTGAAGAATAATTTTATTCCTTTTGTAGTTCATTTCCCTCTTGGTGGAGATGAGACTGATACACTGGGAAGAGAAACCAGGAAAATAATATCTCCTTAGACTCCCCAGCAAAGCAGATGTGGCTGCCATCTGCCTGTCCCCTCACACTTTCAGGGGCCACAGCCCCATCACCATCTTTTTTTTTCATAAAGGGTAATTAACATACAGAATACAACCAGAATTGTGTTAATTTGGTTCTAAGAATTGCTTTTCTTCTAACGGGAGAGGTAAATCCTGGCTAACTGCTTGCCCTTTAATTTAGATATAATTTGTAGGTGCATGGAACAGATAATATTCTAAGTGAGAAGAGGAAGAAAACTAGAGAAGAGCTACAGTTAGGAGAGAGAAAGATTCAAAAGATCTAATGTAAATGTGAACTAGCCAAGAACTTTGATAATAAAATTCAGAAGTTTTAGAACAAGATAACGAAGAGTTTTATGGCATTCACAATAGGACATCACCAACTATTTGTGGAATTATTGGTTGCCAGAAAGAGAGATTCAAGAATTATCTGTGACTCTGCATTTGATGATTGTCAGTGCTATTGCCTCCAGTTTCCTTGGTGATCCACAGAGGCCTCTGTTTCCGTATGTGTGAGCTGAGAATAAGAACAGCTACTTCGTAGGGTTGTATGAAGCACTGTGGAGAAAGCATTCCTTAAACAGTAGTTGTTAGCATTGTAACTAATCATATCAGTTTATATGTCAGATGCTTATTGTAATGTACAGGCACTTAAAGATTATTTCTTTTTTTAAAAAAAGTCTTAAATCTTTAAAAGAAAAATTTTTTTTTTCTTTATTGATTTTTAGAGAGAGAGAGAAAAACATGGATGAGAGAGAACATCCATTGGCCGCCTCCTGCATGCCCCCATTGGGGGTTGGGCCCACAACCTGAGCATGTATTCTGACCGGGAATTGAACCTGCGACCTGGTGCATGAGTCGACACTCAACCACTGAGCCTTACAGGCCGGTCTTAAAGGTTATTTCTGGCTGCAGAGTTAGGCAGTATTTATCACCATTTTGTAGGTTGGAAAACAAGGTTTAGTTATCAGAAGTTTGCTCAAGGCCGCTCAACTACAGAATGATTTGAATTAGTTAATTTGAGCCCCAGAGCCCTTGAGTTTTCACTTGTTTAAGCTTCTCTGACCTTGGAAGTAAACACAACACCCAGTCACCCTGTATCTTTCCATTGTCTGGTGTATATGACAAGGGCGACTAGAGAAAGTACCTTCAAGGTTTGCACAAATGTCAAAGTTTTGTGGGGCTAAAAGATCAAGGAAGAAGGCTAGCTGTCTGTCTCCTTCTCTAGTGGTGTAAGGCACATTCTACACTGGGTAGACCTTAACGCCGGACACCTGTAAGGAGGCGGAGAAGTGGGAGAGTGAGAAAACAGCCTCCGTGTGCCCCTGCCTTATCTTCCAGGGTCATCAGGCCAGCAGGGGCTCTCTGCCGCCTCCCTGGATTCCCATAGCACACTTTTTTTTCTTCTTCTTTATTGATTTTAGAAAGAGGAAGGGAGAAGGAGAGAGAGATAGAAACATTGATGAGAGAGGACATCAACTGGCCACCTCCTGCATGCCTCCCATTGGAGATTTGACCCACAACCTGGACATGAGCCCTGACCGGGAATTGAACGAACAACCTCTTAGTGCAACAACCTCTTGATGCTCAACCACTGAGCCACACTGGCTGGGCCCCATAGTACACTTTTTACTGAGTTCTACCTGTTTCACTGACAGCTGTTTCCACCTCTGTTTCTACCTCTGTTTCTTTTACTAAATGTAAAGTGCCTTGAAGACTAGCATTATCCTACTTATCTTTATATAAATACCAAGAATAACCACCTGTTTCTCTAGGGCTCGCCACAGTGCTAATGAATTGGTCTAAAAGGTTTGCCTCATTTTCTTTCTTGCACACAGAGCTTAATGCGTACTTGAGTGTTGTCAGGCTGTTGCTAATTCAGCAAATAGGAACTCTTGGTAGAAGGGGATTTCTTTTTCTGTCAGCAATCAATATTTCCCATGACTATACTTACTCCTTTATGCAAAAACTTCCCAGTGGTTCCTCATTGCTCACCAGTTAAGATCTGAACTCCTTCATTGGTGTTCAGAGCTGTCTGTGGCCCAAATGTCTTCCCAGCCCATCACTCTCTAGTCCTTGTCTGTCATGCGCAGCGACCAAGCTGAAAACCCACGTTCCCTCATATGTACCTTGAATTCTGTTCCCTTTGCCTCAAATGCCTTTTCTTTATCTTTTATTAAGTATTAACTCCTACCACCCTTCAGAGCCTATTCTAAACCGATGTCTCCTGGACAGAAGTAAGTGCTTTCTTCCCAGACCTTTTGGCATTCACTCTCTGTGGCATTTGTCACAAACTCATGTTGTATTATCTGCATGTGTGTCTCATCTCTTCTGTTTGATTGAAAGTTCACTCCTGTAATAATACTACTGATATTAGCAGTGAGGAAGCTGTTTATTAGCCATCTTCAGGATGAGATCAGGAAATGAGTGTTTGGGGAGGGGCATTAAAAAAGTGTGCATACCAGGTTTAGTCTGGATTCTGGACCACTGGTCTGTTTGGCTCTAAGGCTCTACCCCCTGCTTTCTCTTTATTGCATCCCTTGACACCCAGCATGCAAGAGATGTTCAAACCATTGAAGTGAGGTGCTGTTCTTTGTTCCCCACTGACATTTAGTACTGTGCCTTTAGATGCTCAGTAAATGCTTGATGAATATGTGAATGAAACCAAGACCTTCATATCACATTCCATCAAACTGAAGACAGTTGGATTGCAGGACTGGTATTTATTTTTGCTTGCCACTAAGAAAGAAAAAAGCACTCATAGTAAAAATATGACACAGAGTTAACCTACTTTGTGCATAGTAAAAGAGCTATTTTGAATTACCTAGACATATATTGTACATTATGGTTAAAAAAGGAAAATATAAATAAAATTGGTAGTAATTCTGAAAAAAAGAAAATGGAATTATAGTTATTACAATGACAATTGCTTTATGAATATCACACGTACCCTTTTATGATCAAATTTACTCTCTGCTTTGTTTCTGTATTAATTTTTTCTTTTGAGATTTTTTTGCATTTATTTGGACTGTTGATTAAACTCTACACTGTAGTAGTGACATACTGCTCATCACTGATTTGGAGACATCTGCATGAATGTTGAAAGTGAGTTTGCAGCTCTGACGTGACCACCACTTAACAGTGTCACAGTGATTGTTAGACACCATTGATTTTTAGATTGATCTTGACTTTAGAGATGTTAAAAATGTGGGGAAAATATGTATCTGATAATTGATGACTTAAATCTGTGTTTGTTCCAGATTTATTATTCTAAAGACTTTCTTTTATAGTTGGCATGGTTTTAATTATCTGGGAATTGATTGATCGTTTTCTGGGCATTGCTAATACTCCAGTTCTTTTCTCCACTGTTGTGCCTTCTGATTATTTCATTGCTTGTGAGTCCTTTCACTGAAAAGCAATAGTTCTGGTGAAACAATTAGTTGATGATGGAGACTAGCAGCTAAAATGAAGCTGTGGGCCACCAGGCTTTTTGTTTCTCATGTTCACATCTTGCTGCCCTCTAGTTGAGGGTTCAGTGTATCTTTTTCAACTTAGTAGAAATTTATCCTCACCCGAGGACATTTTTTTTTTTTTGTTCAGATAGAGTTGGAGGGAGGGAGAGGAAGAGAGAGAGAAAGAGAAACATCAACGTGAAAGGGACACATTGAGAGGTTGCCACCTGCACGACCCACCCAGGGCTGAGGACAAACTGCAACCGAGGTATGTGTCCTTAGTGGGAACCAAACCCAGGTCTCTCTGGACTGCAGGCCGACGCTCTAACCACTGAGCAAAACCGGCCAGGGCCAACTTAATAGAAATTTAAAAGGTAAATAAATTCTTAACTTTTTTGGGTAAGAAAATGTTCTATACAACTGCATTGTTTTATGAATAATACATACTTAATACTAACCACACCTCCCCTTTTATACAGATCCCGATTGGGCTGCCAAGTCTGCTTGACAAAGTCTATGGACAAAATGACTGTACAAGTGCCCGATGCCATGGCTGATGCCAGACAGTCCATTGATGTGGGCAAGAACTCCTAAGATAAAATAAATAGGAATTATTTTCACAAAATTTTACCTATTTTTATAATTGTCATTTCTTAATGTAATTAAATGAGAGCATGGATAAATGGGTTTACTACTATGACTAACTTTACTACTTTAATTCACCTTATAAAATTACTGAATTTTGTAGTTTGAAAGTATGCAATCTTTATTTTGGTTAAATTATGAAAAGCAAATCAAATTTTAGAAAATAGTATGATAAAATGATACATATTTTACCTTATGTTTGTTTAGCAACTTTAGCAGTGTTTTCGCATAATTCTTGTGCCTACTTGCCTGTAAAGTAGGTTTAAAAAGGTATTATGCCGTGAGATGTGGTTGAAGGCAGAGGTCTAAGGTGGCTTGTCTAGGGTCAGAAAGTAAATTGGAAAATCTGTACTGGAACCTGCATCCTATTACTACAAATCAGATGTTTAGATTGAGACTGGAGAAATTATGAATATTTCATTTGTAGTAGCAATTACTGTGAATGTATATGGAAAAAACTATTGCTTTGTGAACTGATTAATTTTAAAGACAGTTGTAGCCTTATAAATAAATATTTCAAAATCTTCATTCAGTGAAAAGTGTAAGTCTGAGCACAGGCAATATAACGCCATCAAAGAAGTTTGGTTTCAGTTCTGAGTAAACTGGAGGAATAAACAAAAATTAGGTGCTTTTATTCTTTTCTATCCTAAGCAGAATGGTCTTTCTAATATTTAAAAAATGATGCTGATCTATAAATCTCTGCTTGTAACAGAGTAGAGATCTTGTGGATTGGGTTTCCTCTGTCTCGAGTTGCAGAAGGACATGAGCAGGTTTCAGCACTGCACAGCCGGGCAGGGGCCAGTCCCCACCCACCTGGACAGGTGTGGGTGCAGTGAGCCCAGCAGCGTGCAGTCCCGGAGATGAGGGAATGGCTTGATCACCACCGATGACCAATTACACATGGCAGACATTTGTGTCTTTATCTTGACTCTGAGTAAACTTATAAATGATAGAAAGGGGTACGTATATGCTCTTGGAAATATAATAAGACATTGACTCGCTTGGACTACTTGTGGGGAGGGGCAGAACAAGTAAGTAGAAGAAAAAAGTGAACTATAAGACCCTTGAGTTAGCTTGAGGCACATCTGTGCACTTTGACCAGTTGCACAAAGTATTTGTTAAGTACAATATTTGGCCTACAACGTTGTGTTGTGTCCATGGGGGAAGACAGAGGTGAACATGGTAAGGATGCCCTCGGGGAGCTCACCATTTATTAGGACATGTATACACAAATAATTTGCTTGAACTAAGCTGACCAATTTGCCAAATAGAATACTTTAAAAGTCATATGTAAAAAGTGATTAGGAAAATTTAGGGCTTCTGATATTCATTTGATGTGTTATAACTATCTAGTGCCTTCTATGTGGAGAGCACTCTACTTTAAAGTACTTTAAAATAATTTGATATTTTAATTAGCTTCAATATTTTCATTTTACTCTTTTGTGGATTACCTAAACTCTCCTTTCCAGAACTTTAATGATGACACTTGGCCTACACACTCTAAAATTTAGATTCTGATTTTCTCAGATTTCAAATTAGAAAAGTTTACATTAATGAAGTTTAATTGTGTTACTTAAATAAAATCTACCAGACTTACTTAATGGAGGATATATCCTAAGTTTAAAGATTTTTTTTTCAGTTTGAAAGAGAAAATTCTGTCATATTTAATGGTATGTGCATTTGGGTAAGTAATAGTTATCTATTGCTGCAAAACAAATTGCCCCAAAACTTAGTGGCTTAAAACAACAATAATCTTTTATTTTCTCCATTTCTGTGGCTCAGGAATTCACAGTGCAGAGCAGAGATGGTTCATCACTGCTGCACAGTGTCTGGGGCCTAAGCTAGAAGACTGAGGCCAGGTGCTGGAATCATTTGAAGACTGATGATTCCCTCATGTGACTGGCAAGTCTGGGGTTCCAGCAGAGCCTGTTGACTGGAACACCCACATGGGGCCTCTCTGTGTGGCCTGGGCTTCCTTACAATAGGATGGTTGGATTCTAAGAGCCAGTACCATGAGGAAGCTTGCATGCCAGGCAGAAGCTGTATTTTGTTTTTTAATATGTTTTTATTGATTTTAGAGGGGGGGAGAGAGAGAAACATCAATGTGAGAGAGAGACGATCAATTGCCTCTCAATGAACTCGAAACCTGGGTGTGTGCCCTGACAAGGAACTGAACTACTACCGTTCAGTGCATGAGATGATGCTCAACCCACTGAGCCACACTGGCCAGGGCAGAAGCAGTGTCTTTAATGACCTACTCATGTAAGTTACGCAGTCTCACTTCTGACTTTGTTGTAAGTGAGGCACTAAGCCTGGCCCACCCATCATTTGAAAAGAGGGGTGTCAAAGAATTTGCATACGTGTTTTAAACCATTCAAAGACATTCAAACATTGCATATCGACTTGTTTCCTATTAGAGAAATATTTAAGTATAGAAATAAGATCTTGGTTAAGCAAAACAAAAGGATTCCTTCAATGTGCCCACACTTCACATGATAGCGAGTTATTTTTATCAGATTTTTTTCCTGTTTATAAGTTTATAAAAACTGAAAAATTAGAAAACCAGCTGGAAGGAAGAAGGCATGATTACTTGCAGACAAATAAATGTGGCTAAAACAGAACAGAAACGGAGTGAGAAGATAATTGAGGTCTACTAGCAGCATGTTAGAAGAGAAGTTGACAGGAAGGATTTACTGTCAACAGTGAGAGGCATTACTTCCGCAAAAACTGTTCATAATCATCTAATCAATGACTCCCATTTGTTTATCTTATTATCTGGATGTATTGTCGTTTCAGTTTTAGGCTTGTGTGTTATAAAATGAAGCAGAGCCATTGTGCCTTTCTGGCTCCCTTTGTCTACTGGTCGTTTCTGAAACTGTCAGCACGGAGCCTGCTGGAGGCTGTGTTGCTCCCTCACCTGTGCCAGGGCCCTGCCTCAGACAGCCCCTTACAGTGTGTACTACGTGGGTTACATGACATTGCATAAGGCAACATTTGCACTTACCGCATTTTCTCCCCGATAGATTAAGCTTTTTAACAGTGAGGACTGGGTCATGTTCAACTTTGTAACTGCAGTGTCTGTCATGTATTTAGCCCACAGTATGTAATATATGTGAATTAATCAAAACCTGGTCTTCTTTAATGTTGTTTATCCTCACCTGAGGATATTTTTTCCATTGATTTTTACAGAGTGAAAGGTGGGGGGGAGGGTGGGGAGAGAGAGAAACATCGATGTGAGAGAGATACATTGATTGGTTGCCTCTCGCACATGCCCTAACCCAGACCAGAGACTGAACCTGTAATCCAGGTACAACATGCCCTTGATTGGAAATTGAACCCGTGACCCTTTGGTGCGGGCTGACACTCCAACCACTGAGCCACAAACCTGATCTTATAAGAAATACGCTTCTAGCATACTGCTCTGGCCTCCGCCTGTTGTGAGTGAGTGAGACTGCTTGAGCTCAGCACACCCTGTACCCTGAGCCTGTGTCCTGACCCAACTTGGCAGGAGGCAGGATATGTGGGAATGTTTTGAGAGATCAGGTAATTTCCACTTTTAAAAAGGACTGTTCAATTTGTCATACTTTTTAAAAACATTTTAGGTGAAACAGCTTTTATATGGGCTGAATGCAGGTCCCTCTGTTGGTCTTAGGTCTTATAGGTCATTGATGCTTGAAATCTGAATGCCGAGGTCCTCTGGGTGGACTGCACCCTTGAATCATGGACACTGTCACAGCCATGACAAGTGGGTGCTTCTCGATCTTGGAAGGGCCTGGCATCGTGTCCTTCTGACAGCCCTCGGCAGCTTCCCCTCAGCACGAGGCTTCCTGTTGGTCCTGATGAGGACTCCTCAAGGCAACAGAGGGGAGCGGTGGTGCGCAGTGTTTTCCGAAACCGACAAGCCAGAGGCAGAAACATTGGGGCACTCTTCTTAGTAGTTTTGTTTCAATGTTACCTCTTCAGTAAAGCCTTATTTTGTGGTTTAACTGAAGTCCAGAGACAGCAGAGTAAGGTCTCTTATTGGGGAGGGGGCCATGGGATGTGTTGTTCGAAGACCTGTGTACTGTTTTTTTTTTTTTTTTAATTTTTTTTCTTTATTGATTTTTAGAGAGGAAGGGAGAGAGAGAGAGAAACATCAATGAAAGAGAACAGCGATTGGCTGCCTACTGCATGCCCCCCACTGGGGATTGGGCCCACAATCTGGGCATGTGTCCTGGCTGGGAATCAACCGGCAACCTCTTGGTAGATGGGTCCATGCTCAACCACTGAGCCACACTGGCCAGGCCTGGGTACTGTTTTAAAACTGATCTAAACTTGGAAATAAAGCAAAGATTACTGCAGGTCTCTTCAAAGTTGTACTTAGAGGATTGTAACGGGGACATTGGCAAATTATTTCCTGTGGGTCAAATCAAGCCCACGACCTGTTTTATGTAAATAAAGCTTTATGGGAACACAGCGGTATTCCTCCATGACTTACTGCTGTGGCTGCTTTCAGTCCACAGCAGCAGAGCTTGAGCAGTCACGACGAACCACGTGGCCTAGAACACCTGGAATACAGGCAAAGGTGGGTTTTCAGTTTGTATGGGAAATGATAGTGATTAATAATACTAGAAGAATAAACTGTTTTATGCACTCACAACTGGAAGCCTACTTTTGCCCCACCCTGTATTTGCTATTTGCTATTTGATGATCCCTGCTCCAGAGGAGGTAACTTTGACTTAGTACTTTGTATTGATTGGGACCCAGTTCCTCTAAAGTTAAATGTGAAATAACTTAGAAAAGATTGATAAATCGCAAAGGATTTCTGTTTGGTAGAGAAGGCAAGTCCAGGAATTAGGGTTTTCTCGCCTTATGGGGCATCATCCAGTCCCTGTGGTCTTACCACAGTATTCTTTTTTCCACTGTGTACATGAGTTTCTCATGTTCTTTGAACTGACTTTGTCTTTCTGCTGAATTACATCTTTGACACATGCTCACTATATATTTGTATGAGAGTCCTTTATAGTTTGTAGAAAAATATACAGTGACTGCTTGAGACCTGGCTATGCTTCCTCACTTATGTTCCATCTTGAGGTATCACTTAAACCTGCTCAGCCCCTGGTTACTTGTTAAGTAGAGATAATTATACCCACACCTCAGTTGAACTACTCTCACCCCTATAGGAATATCCACTGGACAAAATTGTGTAATTATTTAAATTAAAAGATGATGTTCATAGACACTTGGTTTACTGCAAAGCACGACGTGATTGTTGGTTGTTACTTCTTGACAAAATCTGGACCTCAGGTACGAAAGCACAGGTCATTCTTCTGTTATATATGAATTGTAAACAAACTCAATTCTTTTTTTTATCCTCACCTTAGGACATTTTTCGATATTTTGTTCAGATAGAGTGGGAGGGAGAGAGGGAGAGAGAAACATCGACATGAAAGGGACACATCGAATGGGTGCCACCCGCACGACCCAACCAGGGCTGGGGACAAACTGCAACCGAGGTACATGCCCTTAGCGGGAACCAAACCCAGGTC